AGGGATGTACTCGTCTTCCGTGTGTCCAAACAGACTGAGGGAAAGCATACATTGCCAAACCTTGAGTATACATGCAATCTAGAAAAAACCTAAACTGATCAATTTTTTCTCCCATCAATAACGCTTTTAAGAACCTGAAAGGCCACAACACTCTACATACAAAAATAGAGCCGGAACCCTTTACAGGCATGTCAACCAAGTTCAACTTCTGGCTAATTAATGTTATTGGAAGACAATCTGAGCAAACAGGAACATTTGCCATTAGGTGAAAGTATGGACATCTTAGAAATATGGATGTCCTTCTACACGACTTCACGCTGTAGTCTGTTTTTCAGTGTTTTAAGTGGCACATCTGTCATAAAGATATTACGCGCAAAGAGGTATATGCAGGCACACAAACAAACAGAATTTAGTTTCATACTGAAAATAACAAGCAGTAAATCGCACAACATTCTGGTTACAGAACCTTCTACACCCTAAATGTATTTCGACAGATGAAATGTTGCATTTATCATCAGCATGGATTGCAACTCCTACTTGTTCCATTTCTAAGAAGAAAGGTTACAATCAAGAGGCCATCATCCAGGTAAATCATAACTGATTAGGTATTGCTCCTAACTAACCCTATGACCAGCCATTTTCTGAAGAAAACCAAGGTGTCAGCTTCAACATGCCTTGGAAAGTTTCTTCCAGACACGCACAGTCCTTCGTGTAAGGAAAGGTCTTATATTCTCATTCATGACCGACCTTCTGCAAATCAGACATTTATTGCACACTCTAATTCAATGTGTACTGTTTGCTACATCTATACTGCAGGGATCTGAGACAAAAAAGATGTTAATTAAAAGTAAGAGCATGAGAAAGGACACAAACGAGGGGAGATCATTCTGCCAGTTTGACAGCTAGTAGTTAATTGACCTCATCTAGCCTTCAGGAAAGGAAAGGCTTCAACCACTGGCTGGTAGCTTGTACCATTCTCCCCCACCCCAAAAATGTAAACCTGAAACACTGCCAATAGGACTGAAGCATTTTTATTTTTATTTATTTTATTGCATTTTTGTTCTAACAAACACGATTTTGGAGACAGTGTCACTTACTAATCCTTGGTCTCCTTGTCCCATTCCACAACTATCTTGATGTGTGGAGGTCCCCCTTGTCCACAGGATTTGTACGCCCTGTATGCAGGAGAGATGAGAGAGTTTTGAGCCTCTTGCTCCAGCAGCAGGATGCCTGCTACCAGGAAATACATATCAATCAGCCACACCAGTGACATGACTGGAGTGCCATTGGGCACTTAAGAACAATTACAGGGGAGAGGGTACCTAGCGGCACTCTTAACAGCTAGCCAGTAGAACTCAGCCTTGATCTTCTCGCAATAAATATGTTTTGCAAAACGCTCAACAGAGCGCACATTAGCAATTCACATAGGGTCTTATGTCTTGTCAGACTCTTCAAGAGCCACAGCCAAATTAAAAAATCCTAAAAGTAAGAAAAATGGGTAAAGGATACCTTTCCACAGTAGGGTGACACAGAGGCTGCTCCTCTTGAGGTAGAAGATATGTAATCCCGACCACACCAACCACACGCAGGCTAAAAGGACCAACCTTTAAATAAATAAACAGTTACAGGTGCATATAAAGATTCTTTTTAGTACATACTAGAGAATCACAATTAAAAAAGGTGCAAATTTCACAACTTAACAAAGTGAAAAAAGACCAAAATGTACACTTTCTTTCATTTAAATACAGACATTATCGTGCGCAACCACTTTTGAACACATTTGCCTAATTTTTGCAAAGAAAAATTCAAGTTCAACTAACTTCCTCAAAAGGCAAAGGCTTTTTATAGACTCCATAAACAGCGCAAATAAAATGTCAACTGAAACCACCTTTAAAAAGCTAGTAAATATTATTTGAAGGTTCAACTAAAATATAACGTGAGCTTATTTCAACCATAATTCTCAAGAAAATTTCCTACACGTAATGCAGATGTTGGAATGCCGGCTTACCTGAATGTACACTCCTGGCCTTAACAAGTGTCGCATCTTTTCCAAAATTTCTTTCTGGAGGACATCCCAGGTCACGGTTCGCTCCAGATAGAGTACAAAAGGATGGCCAAACCTGGCAAATAATTATATCACAGGGATTTATGTCATCACAATGACACTGTACCCCACAAAAACCTTACTTCTTAATAGCTGTAGTCTGTTGTCTGTCTAATCACTTTTAGAAATCTGAGTAGGTAACTGCGTCAGCATGCAAAAGTTATGCATTTCCTAAAAGTTAATTCCATGCTGAAAGGGAAAAAAAAGAAATGCAATATTCTGGCTGCGGAGCCTTCTTCAACTCTTCTACTTTCAGCATGGAATAAACCTTAACATACTTTATCCATGCTGACGCAGCTATTCCGAGATTAATTCTGCAATTTCCCTCATGGGATTAATAAAGTATCTATTAAGGATTAAGAAAGATCTTTTCCTAAAGGTTTATTCTATGTCGAAAGGAAAAGAAAAGAAACGCAACATTTCAGATGTAGGGCTTTCTTCATGTCTTTCTTAATCCTTAATCTTTGATTCAGCCGAGTAAAACACGTAAAACAAGAGACCTCCAGCGTTCCTTTCTCCCTTCTCCCTTCTCCAGGCCCAGCTACACAAGTGCAGCTCACACACCAGCAGGCAGGTCAAGTTTTAACAACCAGCTAGTCAACAGGAGGCCCAGCAGAAGACAGGGCAACTGTACCAGTCTCTGAAGGCAGCCGCTGTCTAAATTAACAAGATCACCTACAACTTGATCCACAGGAAAGAGTTTTTTTTTTTTACTTTTAGTTATCTGAAGAATTCAACTTTTGCATTTTTTTAGGAAGAGGCACTCTGAGACTGATATTTAGATGCCGAATAATTTATTTTGTGGTAAGAGAGGATCTAAAGCTTCATATACATATGTTATCATCAACTGAGAGTTACAAACAATTTGCAGGACAATGTGTAGATCTTTACCAGATTTACAAGAGGTTAAGTGCTGCAAAAGCACAGTATAGACTACTCTATGAAGTAACTATCTAGCAATGTTAGACTAAACAAATTACTACAGATACTGAGATGTAAGAGTAGGACACATGCTTTTCATTAAAGCTGATTCAGTAAATTATTCTCCACATTCAGCAGTATGTAATTACAATGTTATAAATTCTATCTCTCACCACTTAATATATTCTTAAGTTCAAGCATATGGTTTTAATGTAACTAAAAACTGCTCTGAGGCATGGACTTGTCACCATCATCGAAAAGGAGCCAAGAAAGCAAAAAACATTAAAGGATTAAATTCAAAGGTTGAATGAAATTCTGAGTGAATCGCCCAAAATACTCAGGAATTGCTGTCCAAAGAACAAAATGTCTTCAGTAAACAGTTTCTTTGAGAAGCAATCCTTTGTTTTTTGTAAAACCACATTAAAAGATGCATTTTGAACACTGGCCAGTATTCCTCATAATACAAATCCTCCTTTGAATCTTTCTGACTTAAACACAAGGAATCGTATGTTAAAATTGATTATTTTGAATGTGTTTTCTAAAAGATATAACATCTACGATAGTTCAGAATACACAAAAACAGCACGGTGCTAGTGTATTTCTTTGAAGCTTGACTATGATGTGTTACCCAACTCAAATTGTACCTGATGTAAAAAACCTGTGTCAAATGCCACAGATGGCTACTTTAAAAGTTATTATTCTTAATTTACTTGGCTGACACGTTTATCCACCGTTTACATTTATACTCTATACAGCTGGGCATTTCCCTTAGGGAAATCCGAGTGCATCTCCTTTCTCAAGGGTACAGTGGCAGTGTCTCACCTGGAATTCAAACCTACAACCTTCAAGGTTTGAGTCCAGAGCTCTACCCACTACTCTGTACTGGTGCAATGAAATTAACAAAATTATGTAACTAAGCGCAGTACTAAATTTCTGATCTGTTATTATGTAACCAAACTCTGACAAACTATCAGAAACTGACAGAAATCCTTTGACTCACCCTAAAAAATCATGTTATTTAGATTTACCAGTAGACCCCCCTAGTGATTTAAAAAAAAATAATTTCCTGACAGGTTACTTATGCTCAACAGCACCAGAAAACTGCTATGTGCATTAATTTTATAAAACTGATTGCCTGAATGTTACTTTTATTATAAATTCAGAATTTAATTAAATTGTTATACAATTGTTGCGGAATATTCTGTTTATTCCCTGGTAAAAATTGAATAATATACACAAAAAAAGAGTGGAATAAAAGAGCAGATTACTGATCACTTAAGTTCTTCAAACTTCAGCAAAGAAAACAGATGACCAGACCCATGGAGCAGCAGTCCCCAATCAGAGGGGATATTCATGTTAGAATCCCGAGCTCCACTCGCACATGGTGTTACCTTCTGCCCTGGTGTCCTGTGCACGCTCTGTTGCAGACCAGCAGGATGATCTTGTCACTGCTGGCATTCTTATTGGATGGTAAGACCGGCTTCACTGCTCCTTGCATGAATGAAGACGTTCTGCTGTTGTCGGTGCCAAACTTCAAGTTGTTCTGGTTTAAATTTCCATGTAGGCCTTGAAAACAGTCATAACTCATCACTTGAACTGGAACTGAAGTGAAATACTCATTCTACTTATTGTTTACATCCAGACAAAGATTTGCTTGAGTTCTCTCAACATAAATGGAAAATAAAAACTATTCCTATGCGTCACTGCTTAATAGTTTCTTCACTGTATTCATAAATAATACAGAGTGTTTTTTTAGGTACTCAGCATGATTCATTGAATTACTTAATGCTACAAAACAACGGTGTAACAGAACATTTTGAATCAAACTGGAGGACAAGCCTGGTCATTCACTCATCAGCTGATCAATACATCTTACGGTTTATAGAGGTATGCAGCACTTGGAAAGGTGAAGCACAGTAGGGGAGAACTTAAAAGGTGTACCTCTTTGAGAAAGAATGGTTTCTGGTCTAAAGATTTCAGGGGTTTCAAATGCGAATATGGAATCACTTTCTTGGATAATCTCAAGATCGTCATCGTCGTCGCAAAATGAGCGATGAAATCCATCATAGTACATCTCTGTCAGAACAATCTGCCAAGTAAAAAATATACAATGTTGGGTGGCAGTGCCAGATTTCAGAACACCGATGTTAATATGATAATATGTAAACAATGTTGGTGGTTTCCGGCTGGAAGGTTTACAAACGAAAGGCCATTCACTCAGCCTTGTTTTGTTGCTCACAGCTCATCTGTCTTCCTTCCAAAAAATGAGAAAGAAAATACATAAAATAGGGCTGAACACTAAAATTCACCAGAGTGATCTCAAATAATGGACGTTTATGACAAGCATCAATGACAAACAACTAAGCAGATAAAAATAACTTTCTTTCTTTCATCGCAAACCTATTGTTATCCCATGACACCACAAGAGCCCAGTGCTGTGACGAACAGGAACATCAGACACTGAGCTGAATTGTTCATTTCCCACAATGGGCGCCAGAGAACAAAAGGCTCTCTTCATCCAAGTGATCAGAGTGATACTGGCACACATGCCCACAGGACAGGAGAGACCTGTGTCGGTGTTGCAAGAGCAACAGGCCCATGGTGAAAACCTTGCATCATCCCTCTGAGATGATAATACCTTAAAATAGACACAAGAATCGTCATGTTTTAATTAGCCTTACGAGGTGCCCAAGTTACTTGCAGCAAAAAAAACAAACTTATGAACTTTTGTGGTTCGAGAATGTCATCATCGTGATCATTGTTGTTGTAATCATTATTACGTCAGTGTACTGGTGCATACCCCCAAAACAGTCAACTGAATGTAAACGTACCTGGTCAGTGGGGATCTTGGTTTCACGTGAAACAGCCTCTCGCAGTCTAGAGACCGTGCTGGACAGAGGCACGGCCACACCGATTCTCATACAGTGGGAACACTTTCCTTGGTAAACTACAGTGACATACAGAGGCCTGAATGGGAAGAAGAAACTGATGTTAGCAAACTACAGGCTCCTGTCAAGCTGAGAGGTTTCCAAATAAATCCATTATTATAAAGTATTACTCCACACGTAGTTGTTAAGCAAAGGGCAAGTTTTAAAAACATTGCAGACATTCAGATGCCTGTACTAGAAGATACAATTTTTTAACTAATTTAATTTGTCATTTTTAATGCAAACCCTTTGGGTACAAGCATTATACTTTAATGTTTAGCGAGAAAACTGAATTTAAAAAGCGCTGTCCACATTGTTGAACCAGTACCACAGCAACAGCTCTTCACGCACAGAAAAGCCCAAGCACTTCCTGCGGGTGAAAAGTCACCAAGGACAAAGGTCATATCCCGATCACCAGGCAGAAAGGTACTGAAACAGAAACTCGAGAACTGTGGACTAACTTATTCAATTAAAACTATTAAATTAGTTACGGAATGAAAAAATGACAAGTTCCACAAAATAAAGGAAGAAAAAATGTGGGAACATGCAGCAATTTATAAGAAACATACTTAATTCTTAATTCAGACTTAATTCATCCCCTCTGTTTCTGCATGCCTGAACGAATATCAATTTTCATTTCATCAGATTAACAGCTGTGTGCGATAGGGGAAGGTGAGCTTTCTGAGAATGATGCTAGTTGAGTCAGACTGAACTGTAACAAACACAGCACTTCTGGAATCAGGCAGAGATTGGGCGACAACTCCCAGAGACAATAAGATACAGACAGCAGCACTTCAAGCAATCTTTTGCGCTCATTAGGCCAGTCGTAGAAAAAGAAAACAGGGATTTCCACAACTTCAAATGGGAGTTAGGATTACTGGTTATAAATAATTCAAAACTAGAGCTAGAGTTAGCAAAAATTAAGGACAGAAGGAGAAAAATTCACGAAAACTATGAAGAGTGCCCACCTCAGTTCACAATTTACTGCAAGATATCCACAGGTGGCTGATGTTAAAGGGGAACTGCAGTCCCACTTTCTCTAACGTTGGTAAATGTTGGTAACAAAATTATTTAATTGTACATATAGAGAAATTTTACCAATTTTGAATAAAGCACAAAATAGTGAACTTTGTGAGAGTACTATATTATCTAAATTTTATCGCAAGCTTCTTGTCTCGCTACAGGCGAGAGCCAGAGTTCCCATGAATTGTGACTTAAACTTGCCCTTCCTGTTCACTAGTCACTGTAATGACTAATGTGATGTATGTGCAAATAAGCACAGGTTGTACAGCAGACATTTCATCGCAGAATCGTTCCAACATGATCTGCAAGCAGAGTTAACAAGTAGTATTTGTCGGCCAAACCATCTGAAATTCGAGAGCAATATTTCTATTCGGTTGAAAAAGCCGTATTCACAAGCCTGTTTGTTTACAATGTAATAGTGACGCTTCATGGTACCGGATGTTTTGTTGCCACGTTCTGAATCACAGAACATGGTGCTGCTGAACATACCTGGGAAATTCATCTATTTTGTGATGTGAATTAGAGGTTTACAAGTTACTGTGTACATTTTATTTTTAACGTGGTTTGAAATGCACTCCTCAACGCTGATTCTTCCTAACCCTGAAATATAAAAAAATCGCATGGCACTTCTTTAAACAAAGAAAACATTGAAGACATACAGTTACAGGGCATGAGCTTCCAGTCACATCCATCCATCTACCACCTTCATTCGACTTCAGAAACACTTCAGTCTCGGGAATCTGGCACTGGAACAGCCACACACACACAACCAATTCCACGTCCCAAGAGATACAAGTGCGGGAGGAATAAACTGAACGTTCAGAAAATCAACTGTTGGTTTGGAGACAATTTTACCTAACACTTTCACCTCCGAGAACTCTGATTTACCCTTGCAAGATTCCTGTTATTCCAATATTCAGTATTCCACGCAGAATCAGCAACTGCTGGAGCTATCTACTACAGACAGGAGGGTGAAATCGGGAGGCCCTAATGAGGACCCTGACGGCATTCTTCGTGAGCTTGTGAGTTTTCACCCAGTTGCCACCCTTGATTCGCCCTCCAAGATGCTCCCACCACTGCCAGCGACAGCAAAGTGGGTGACCGAAAACCTGACCACTTTTCCACTGCATGAGAATGGCGAGGTCTTTGGAGCGGCGAAATATATGAAAAAAATTAAACAAAAAAAGCAGATTGTTAAATATAATAGTTTTAAATTAAAATGTTTCTCCAGGCTTGAGCAAGATTACCCGCATACTATGTGTAACTGAACTACAAGTACCGGTGCGAACATAACATGCAACACAACTAAGTAATTCAATTCCTTTGCTCCATTTGGGGCTCAATATCTCAACCACACTCCGAACCAATTTTATTGCAACTGGTATTCATTTTTTCCAGATTGCTTCTAAAATTTGAGCGCTAGTCATTTAGACAGATGATTTAATGCCTTGAAAGTGGGAGCCTTACAGCAATTTCTCTTCATATCTAATTTTCCAACCCAACGCTTAAGAAGAGGAATTTGATTAAAGAGCATTCTGAGGATCTTTATTACTACAGAATAAAAGGAGCAGATATGACATTTTTCCTTCAACTGAACAAGTCATCTGCTCATAGCCAAATATGTTGCTGAGATCATAGGAACCCGATTCTGACTTTTAACTTGTAGCACTGCTTACTATGTACTATGGGTCTGGCAGTCTTATTAGATATTAGATAATGCCCACAAACATGTAATAAATTCTAACTGACCCTCAAAGAAAAGGTGCCAGAATACCTCACATTGAACTCTTTTCAGAGTTACCCGTATTTTAAAAGCAAAAAATAATCACAGCTGTCTGATGAGAAGCGTATTTCTCGCAAGTCCAGGACTATATGGAAGATCCTGTGCAAATGGGGAACAAAGATACCAAGCCTCACACACATTTCTAATGGTTGTCACCTGCAGGAAAAGCTTCACACTCTATAAAATTACACATTTTTAACCACAGCTTCTCTCTTTTGTCCATGTAGAGTTACTTCATGTAGTACTGGGTTTGATTACAAGTGAAAGACTGAGGAGGCCAACACCAGAGCTCCAATGCTGCTATGAAGGAAAAAATAAAAACAACCAGGAACAATGGAAGCTTACAGCATTTACAGCTTACAGCTTTTCCCAAAGAACACACAAAATTGAACTGGAAAACCACTGCCTTCCACATACACTTAATCAAGCCGAATTGAGGGCTTAAACTTTAGAGTCAAGGAATTGAATGTAATCTAAGTAATTTAATATCAAAACAATGGAATCTAAATCTATTTGATTTGATATTAAAATAAAGCTTCACAGAATAATTCCACTCACTATGGGTTTGATTATATACGCACACAACAGACAGGCAATTTGATCTTTGCAAATGCTCTTCAGATGTGCTCCAGTTCTGTCACTTTCTGTGGTTTCAATGCTACTTGCAGACAGAAGGGTGGTCACAAATTGCTGACCTTTCTGGAGAGCACTGCGTTCAACATCTCTGTAATGTGCCTTTCTAGCTTGGAATGCTGAATTAAATGCTGCAGCGCCAGTTTGAAAAAATGCTTGACTATGCAAAACGGGGTTTGGATCTCCTGGTGCTCACTGAATTGAGGTTAAACAAATCTAGCCACGTCTACTTAAGGGAAAACAAAACATACTAACGAATGTTAAAATGTTTCATAGCATAGCTCAGACTGCACACAGTAAATAAAAGTTATTACTATTAAAGTACAACAATTCCAAGGTCTATTTGCAGGCATTTTGCAAAGAAATCTGTCATGAACAGTCTTTAATGACTGTGCATTAGTAAACTGTATAATTTAATGCTGTAGCACTGAGGGTCACACTGTGACAAACAGAGAGGTGGCTGTGTGCGCTGACTCGGCCTCAAGTGGCAGGGAAACAACCAGAGGTTAATTAAACACTGTAAAGCAAAAACAATAAAAAACAACTTTTCAGCTGTGGAGCCAACTCACATCCAAAGAATGCTCCACTGCTGAGACTTGGTGCATTTCTTCTTCCTTGAGAGCAAACGCACATTCTCAAGGAACATTACCACTTGACAGTGGGTGAAAGCAAACTTTTGATTTCTTCCTGGTCTTATTTATTTTGCGTTATGGTGAAAACATTAAAAAGTACTTGTAAAAAGTATATCTATACTAGTAGTTTAAATGTTAAACTACTTTGTTTTCTGTACTCCTGATGTGCTGTGATTTATAATAATCTAGATAAATAAAAACTCCCATTAGGTTTTAAGTAGTGCAGATTCCCTATTTATTAGCATAATGGTGGTCTGTCTCGCATGAATGCCAGCCAGCCCCACATGCCCCTTTTTTAACCAATTGGTCACTACAACATCACTGTTCTTCCATCCAAGCTATGTGAACACCAGATGCCATTTACTGAGGTTACCGTAATATCAGCGATAAATGCATGCTTGTGCATACGAAAGGTTACAACAAAAGTTACCATAATATCAGGGATAGATGCAAGCTTGTACATAAGAACAGACGAAAAGGTTACAATGGATATTGTAATGTCAGGGATTCATACGTGCTTCAGAAACACTACACAGACACCCCCACACCCTCTTCTCTGCATGAAGATGCCAAACAAACACACACCAATGCCACATTCTCTTGTCCGGCCTGGCAAGAACAAGTTTGAGACATAACCCAGAACTAAAGAGCTCACAGGTGTCACGCATGCATTCTGGTATCAAAACAGGCTTTAGAAAATGCACTATTATCACACACACACACGCACACACACTAGTCACATGCAACAGATGGAGAATATGACTTTTTTTAAAGGTACTTTACACCTCTAAAACTAAAATGAAAGCAACAGATATCAAGCAGCCACAGCAATTCCCTCCAATACTGGTAACACTTGAGGGCCTCTACATAAAATTGACATAAGAGCAGCATTATAAACTGACATCTTCCAAAATGCAAAGAAACGCGAGATATCTATTTGTACCACCTCTGTTCTGCCTGTTCTGTATTTTTTTTAAATCTGTATTTCTGAACTTAATTAATTCTTCCTTTTCATAATTATTCATGAATGATAACAAATTCAGTGGCTTGTCAACATCCCTTTGTTCTCTACCTGAGAAACATTCAAACCTCAGACATTTGAGGCAACTTCCCAAAATAGAATCCAAGACAGTTAGAAACACAGCACAGCAAGTAAAGCCAGTCAGAGATAATCTCATTCATGTAAAAAGAAAGAGACATTTAAGGATACATTCACAGAACACAAAAAATAACCAAATATGCAGAAAATAAAGACATTTTAATCGGAGCTGAAGAGAAGAAAGTTTTTGCAAACTCTCAAAATATAACACTGCAGACTAAACCTATTCAATGCATTTTATCCATTGATTTATTTATTTTATGAGGGCTAATAAGCAGGCTGTCCAATACAAGTCTCTACTCATTGGGAGGTAAATGTACTACTTTTGGAGGACAAGTATCATGGAGCTCTGCTGGTTTGAATCCAGGCTATGCCACTGTTGGAGTGCACATTGCAGGGGATGGCTAAATATCACCCTGGTGGGTAAGGCTGAAGCCAGCATGGAATTCTGATTTCACAGCACAGTAGTGGGGGTGGTTGGGCCGTAAGAGCTTGTAGCAAGATCAATAAAGACAGAGTGAGTCCTCCATGTGACACAACAACTCCAGTATTTGCAGTTCAAAACTCACAGTGTGAAAAGGGGCAGGCAGCTTGGTTCAGTAACCCAGTTCAGTAGAGGCATCTAAGACACCTTCATCTCTTCTGGGCTTGGATGTTGCAGTGACCAAGGCTGAATAAAACTAGTGCATCCCTTTTTTAAATACTACTTTATATATAAACAACACAATACATATATACACTAAATGGCCACAGTGCCTATTAAATACTTAAATCTACAGCCACCGTGGCCTGGCTTTAATTGAAAAAGGTCTTTTAGGTGTTTTTTTCCTTAGGAGATACAGTTGGCATTTACTGCATGTCATGAGCAATAACTGAGAAACAAAAGTAAAACGTACAAAGTATGTCCAGCACACTGTATAATGTCAGTCCAAGGACACTTAGCTTCACTTCCAGTGCTTCCCACTTTGCCTCAGCACTAATTAAGTTTGTAGTGTGACTGGCAGATGAGAAAGTGATCTGCTTCTGTACAAAGCCAAGCTGACACCAGAGCTGCGCAAACCTCTGCCAATCACACACACACACAGAGAGAGAGACACGGGTGGGGATCAGTGTGAAGGCTATTATCCCAGTCTGGTCAGCTGAACAGCAGAATCCTTCCAAGTAGACACAGATCCGGCCTCGGGCCAGGGCTAAAAGCAGATTCTCCTTCAGCCTCACACAATCCAATTCATTCCAAGACTTACTCACCGAGTGTGAGGCAAGGGGATGGGCAGGGAGATGCAGAGGAAGGGGTCGAACGTGTTGCTCTGCTTCTGGCAATGAGGGCAGGTTAGCGAAGATCTGCATAAAAACAAATGAGTTCAAGCTCCCATACAGGGACTGAAACAACAAAAGGAAAACTACAATAAACTGCTTTGTCACCATGTTATAAATATATGTTTCACATTTATAATTATATAACTTCCAACAGCCAACAATTGTTCTGAAAATGAATTGATCCTTTGCACCTATAACATTGATCTGCCTATCATAGCAGATTTTACCGCAATCTACCACCCCAGTATCTGCTAGAAAATATATTTCTTTATTTTTCATTCTTTGTTTTAGTTTGGCTGGGGGGATTCGACAATCTTATAAAGGATTATTTCATGTTCCACGCTGACCAAGAGTGGCCACAAACATACTTGAACGCAGCACAAAGGCAGAAGATACATTAAGATACAAAAGTTCAATATAGAAAATGAAGTTGAGAGGGTGAAAATTCACAAGGTGAGCCAGTGAACCCTGGTACCTGTACTGGGCTTGAAACAGCTCCTGGATAAAAGAACCGGCCAGAGGCAGAGATGGGCCCTCAGGGGCGGCGTCGTCATCCTCTAACGGAGGCTGAAACAGCGGGGATAAACCACACTTACACATCACAGGACTCCAAGACAAACTGGGCTGATGGAAAGCCACACACCACTTCGTCAGAACTGCCTCACATTCCTTTCACCTTGTACTTCTGACCTCATCTCAAACTGCTGTCCTGCAGGCTCTGTTTAAAGTCAATAACTTAAAAAAATAACACACTTTTGCACTATATTAAACTCACAGGGGATCCAACGTTCGACTTTGGAAGCCTGTAGCTCTTTAGGTCCTGTGTTCCAGCAGTTTACTCCAAGAGGACATGATGCTAAATTAGGCACACTACTGACAAGGTTCTGCCTGAACTAGCTCTGCGTGCTCTGAATACCTTCAATGCAGCCCCTTGCAGTGCAAGCATGAGAACGTACAAATAAGAAAATTTCTATCTGCAGGACATACATTTGGTCATCATGTGTGATGTTCAAGTGGACCAGTGTCACCATCACACTCCACTCCTGCTGCCAGGCAGAGACATTTCCCACAGTAAACTATAAAGGCTGTTTTGCCAGTGAAAGTAAATCTAACAGTAAATCAGCAATCATTCAAGAGCAGGCCTTTCACATACAGTAGTCCGGCATTAATGTTCATAGCATTTACCAACTGGACAGCTGTTGCCAACATTATGTCATGGCACACTGTCCCCAGAACAAATGTGAAGACTAAAAATAATTAAAATAAAGCTTTATTTCCCCTTTCAGCTTAAAAGGGGAGTAGCAGTCCCAATTTCTCCGAATGGTTATTAAATTTCAGTAAGAAAATTTTACAAATTCAGAATTAAGCACAAAATCATGAACTTTGTGAAAGTACTGTAGCCTCACCATGTTGTCGCAAATTGGTAGTCTCACCACGGGTGAGAGCTAGAGTTCATGACAATTGTGACTTAAACCGGCCCTTCATTCTCAATAGTCATTGTAATGACTAATGTAACATGATGTACGAGTGAATAAGTACATGTTGCGCAGCAGACATTTCACCACAGAAATGTTCAAACGGAATCTGTATGCAGTTAACAAGTAGTATTTGTCAGCAAAGCAGTCGAGAGCAATATTTCTATTTGACTGAAAGAGATATACATTCGCAATTCTGCCTATTTACGATATAATAGGCCACTTCACCTCACCGGATGTTTTGTTGCCTCGTTCTGAATCGCAGAAAATAAAGGCACTATAGTGCTGAGCTGGAAATTTAATCTGTTTTGTGATGGTTTTGTGTGAGGTTCACACTTTACTGTGGACATTTTAATTTAATTGTGGTTTCAAATGATCTCATCGATCTTGATTTTTTCTCACCTCGAAATGTAAAAATAGCGCTGCAGTGCTAATAATAATAATAAAATTAATAATAATTCCTTACACTTATATAGCACTTTTCTGGACACTCCACTCAAAGCACTTTACAGATAATGGGGACTCCCCTCCACCGCTACCAATGTGCAGCCCCCCCAAATGATGTGACAATACGCTCACCACAAAGCAGCTATCAGTGGGGAGGAAAAGAGAATAATGAAGCCAATTCAGAGATGGGGATTATTAGGAGGCCATGACTGGTGAAGGACAATGGTCCTTTAAAATACTCTTTTAATTAAGAATCTGGGATTCTTAATGACCACAGAGAACAAGGACCCTCATCCTCATCCTTCTCATCCGAAGGACGGCGCCTTTTTACAATATAGTGTCCCCGGCACTATACTGGGGCATTAGGACCCACAGACCGCAGACAGAGCTCTTCCTGCAGGTCCCACTAACACCTCTTGAACCAGAAACCTTAGCTTTCCCAGGAGGTCTCCCATCCAGGTACTGGCAAGGCTCACACCTGCTGAGCTTCAGTGGGCTGCCATGTGTCGAGATGCAGCACGATATAGCTGCTGGCATGTAAGAAGGGTATTTCTACTCCTTGTAAACATATTTGTCCTAAAATGTTACATTGAATTAAAAATCATTATGGTTCTGGATCCATAACTGAGGGGTTGTGGCTTTGAATCTGTGGGTACTGCTGTTGTGCCCCTTCAGCAAGGTACTTCAACCAAACAGCTTCAATAAAATACCCAGCCGTATAAATGGGTGCAAATATAAGTCATTTTGTATGAAAGTGTCAGCCAGTAAGTAAAAAAAAAAGTGATCTCTCTACCATTAAAGGTCAATTACATTTTTGAATTGTGCACAGAGGAGGGCTATGAAACTTAAAGTTGAATACTTTCGAGTTCATTTTTTTCCATCAGCCAGAATTCAACTCCAGGTCAATACGAGAACAGAGAAGCAACAGCAGGGCAGACACTGGTGGGATCAGCCCCCATCGGAGCAGGCTTACCTTGATGGAGGACCTGGTGCTGGGGTTTACGATGTTGTTCAGGTCTTCATGCACCCTGTCCAGCAGCCACAAGAGGAACTCCTGGGCATCGTGCTGAGCATTCCCCCTGTACTGCAGAGCATTCTTCGACACCACATTCTGCAACACAAACAACTCCTCTTACACCAGCAGCATGCGCGAGCAACGTCCGCTTATGGGATCTTAACTCCAATCAGGAAAACCCACTGTGATTGAGAGCTGTTTGGGATGAAATTAGGAAGGTTGAAACACAAAGAACTGAAATTATCCCTGTCCCGTGCTTTTATATGAAACATGCAGGACAAAAAAGAAGATTCCCCTAGCATACCACTCTGCTCTATGCATGTGATTTACAGGTGTTGACATGTAACTTAAGACCAGCTCTTGAACAATTCCAAACAATATTAAGTTACTGTGACAAACCAGCAGATGTACTATGTATAATATACTTCACATTGCATTTTTTACAGTGTTCTGCAGCTCTTAATATCTTAAATGGCCCAAACTGTTTTACAATCAGTCTTATTTTCCCATATCGTAGTGATACCTGCTTAACAAATCTACCACAGATGAAAGACAGTGGAGACAATAGTTAATGACAAAGATAGAAACAAATCTGTAAAGATTAAGGGTCCCATGTACCCATGATTGCAGAGCAAAGGAATCTCTACTTTAGAATGAGCAATTCCATTCCTGCAAATCATTTAATCAAGCATCTGAAAGCTTAGTTTGAATATGCACATCTTAAAAACTCATTATGCCTTTAAAACCATTTTTTCAGGAATTTAAATATTTCAGAAATGCATTTTTACCACAAAACCTGTAATTAAATGAGCCAATAGCAGAGCAGTGGCTCTGTGGCTCAGGATCTGCGCCTGTGGCTGGAAGGTTGCCGGTTCAAATCCTGCGGCTGACAGAGGAATCCTACTCCGTTGGGCCCCTGAGCAAGGCCCTTAACCCCAACTGCTCCAGGGGCACCGTATAAATGACCCTGCGCTCTGACCCCAAGCTTCTCTCCCTGTCTGTGTGTCTGTGTCTCAAGGAGAAAAGTTGGGGTATGCGAAAAGACTAATTCCTAATGCAAGAAATTGTATAGAGCTAATAAAGAAACATTATCATTATCATCATTATCAATAACTCCAAATAAAAGCAGACTTACTTGACAGTATATACTACTAAAGCAGACACTGCATCCTGCAAACATCAGCAATTCTGTCCTTAAATACACAGGGAGAAAACTTAATCAAATGGAGCACCTTAAAAGTGGAACCAAACCTTATGAACCACTGATACTCCTCTGTCAAATAATCAAAACCAATAGCATACTCGGCAACATGGACACCGATTCTAATACTGTACATCAAAACAAGAAAATTGTGACCATAAGTCACTGTCAAGCTGAAAGACCTTCAGGAGAGTTACAAAATGCGATGGTCTGACGCTGCTGGGGTTGACACAGCTGTGCACAAGGAGTGGTGGCTCTGACCTGTTATGACGGGTCACCCAGAAACCGCAAAGCTTTGATAAAAAAGGTCCCAAAAAGTATCCAGCAACAATGCCAAGACTGGTTTGTTCACGTTTCAGCAGTTTCCAGATGTCAGAGCAAACAAACATAGAAACTGGATTTGCATCGCAGCCTTTAGCATTTTCAAGCCCCTGTCTAACATAAGATCTGTGCTAGAAAGCATAGCTTACCTTGCACTGAACCTATTAACGTGTTTGATTAAGCACATCTAAAGGTGAACACCTTGCAATGTAATATATAGAGTACATACACAGGCAGCCTTATTGCCTTATCTAGCTGTAGGGAAAAGAATAAAACAAAACTGTGCACAAACACATGCTGGCTAACCACCAGGGACAGTTACAGCCCGGCGCCCTGCAGCTGGTGAACGGTCACAAGCAGAAGCAGCTCTTTTACTGAGAAACACTGGGGTGTGAATTCCCTGCAGAAGGGTCATGATTGACACTAATCCTTTAATCCACAGAATGCCAACACAAGGTTCTTTGAAGATAATGAAGGGAAAAGGGTGTCTGACAAGGAAAAGAAACAGCACTTAGGATGGGTGTGTTTCTTAAAAGGGCCATCCATCTGAAGATAAGGAAACTAATGATTTGCAATAATATATATTATTCTACGTTTGAGATGTTTAAATGGTTTTTCTTCTCTAGCACTAAGGTGAAGATCTTGAAGATCGATACAAAGAAAAGTAACTATAATTGCACATAATTTGCATGCTGGAAACCCATAAGGATTTATACACTCTTATCTGTTTACTGTTACCTGAAGACACTATACAGATCTTAAAAAGTGTGTTTTACTTAGCCTCTTTTGGCTGTCAAAGAATTAGCTGCACGGTTAATTTTATTTTGCACAATTAAAACCGATATATCAAACACAGATGGTTCCTGACTTTCCTTCCTTGAGGCTTTGATTATTCACACATCAAAGAAAATGGTTTTTACAAAGGTCTGGCCATTTATTAATTAGGCTAATAATTTTAAGACTTGATTGTGGCTGGAACAACCATCAATATCACACCTTGAAGCACATACTCTTCTTTTCCTTAAACTGGTAAGAGGGGAGCGGTGGCACTGTGGCTAAGGATCTGCGCCAGTGGCTGGAAGGTTGCCGGTTCAAATCCCACGGCTGGCAGAGGAATCCTACTCCGTTGGGCCCCTGAGCAAGGCCCTTAACCCCAACTGCTGGCCCCTTAACCCCACTTGCTCCAGGGGTGCTGTATAAATGGCTGACCCTGCACTCTGACCCCAAGCTTCTCTCTCCCTGTCTGTGTGTCTCATGGAGACCAAGCTGGGGTATGTGACAAATTCAAATCCCTAATGCAAGAAATTGCATATGGCTAATAAAGTGATCTTATCAGACCAAAATCCAGAACCAGCAGAAAAACTCAGTTTCAAAAATAGATCATTTCAATTCATCCTATATCAAACAAGCAAAAGGGAGAATGAACATTCAAATGTCTTTTGAAAAAGACACACAATTTCCACCAGTTTGTCTCAAACCTTAACCACATCAGTGCTACTGGAAATCCCAACAGCAAAAACATATCCAGCGGCTGTATACTGAAAAATATAATGCTTGCATTTTGAATGCATTACAAAGAACCTTGCATTTGTTAGTTAAAAAAATATAATTGCACCCTTGTAAGACTATGTACACTAGAGTCAGAACCGTCAAAGGACAGAGAGAGAACAGAGGTTACTTTTGTATGACGCTGGTCTTTATTTTTCTCCCAACAGTATTTTATAACATTAAGCACCAAAGTTAGTTGGTGAACGGAAAGAGACAGAACAGAAACAGAAAAAACAACACACATTTCATTTTTTCAAATGAAAAGAAAGTCGTAGCACATGAAGAACAACAAAATAATTTCAAGGCTTCTCCAATATGTCCAATCTGGATTAAAATTGAAGGCTAATGGAACAAAGACAAAAAGCCACCATGACCAGCAGCTATATCATCCTGGAACTCACAAATGCCAACCCGCTGAAGCTAAACAGGTTTAAGCCAGGCCAGTACCTGGATGGGATACATCCTGGAAAAATCTGAGGTTGCTGCTGGAAGGGGTGTTAATGTGGGTCCTAATGCCCCAGTATATTGACGGGGACACTACAATGTAAAGAGGTGCCGTCCTTCAGATGAGACGTAAAACTGAGGTCCTGACTCTCTGTGTTACCCTGGCATCCTGGCCAAATTTCCCATTGCCTTTACCAATCATGGCCTTCGTATAATCCCCATCTATGAACTGGCTTCATCGCTGTGTTCTCCTCCCCACTGATAGCTGGTGTGTGGTAAATGTACTGGCTCACTATGGCATTATCCAGGTGGGGCTGCAAACTGGTGGTGGTGGTGGAGGGGAGTCCCCATTACCTGTGAAGCACTTTTAGTGGGGTGTCCAAAAAAGTTTGCTATATAAGTGGAAGGAATTTTATTATTATTATTATTATTATTATTATTATTATTATTATTATGGCTACGCTACATAAACTGTTCAGGCTGCAAAAATAACCAGTCTAGACAAGCAAAGGGAAACTGAGTGAGAGCTATCCATCTATTAGAACAGCTAAATTCACTGCAAAAAAGAAGCACTTCAGTGCCATTGACAAAATCTTTGTAGTTACACAGTAAGGTCATTGGTTATTGCTATTTTGTGATTTGGCAATGTTTTGCTTTTGAAAAAATATATTTTTACTGTAACAATGGGAAATAATTAGTTTGTGGTCTTTGATTATAGTGCATATTTTTATTCTACATCATCAGGATAACAGTCTTCTAAAAAATGAGTTGCCAAACAGGAATTTGAAATGCACTAGACAGAAGACTTCATCTTGTTTCTTATGATATATTTTGTGGTGCTGTGTTATGATTTTGCTGCTAAGTTTTGATGAAAACTACTGGTAGGGCTTGACATTTTTTATTTCTGAAGCCAGCGAAAGGTCACATTTTTTCATCTAGCAAAAAAGTTTCACCACTGTAAAAACAAATTTGATGATTGCACTTAGAAGATATAAGATGTCACTTGCGTGTGCAATACATCGTGAAACATTTTTAAAATTTTGTTAATGAAAGTGTAAAGTGTAAGGCATTGTATAATTCACTGCTTGTCACGCCCGTGTCCACGATGAACGGAAAAGGTCAAATCAGTTTATTACCGGCTTCACTGGAAAGATAATAGTTCCACATAGCTCAGGAGCTGCTAGGTTAAAGAGACCAGAAATCATGCAGGCAAACTGGCCCCCCCAACACCAAGTACAAGGATGTCTAATCTAAGAGAATGAAGGTAACAGAATTCAGCTACCAACTTCCTGACAAACCCAAAGGAGATTCTGCATTCTCCCCTCAGTTCTACACCTTCAGACAACACCACCACAATACAGGAAGTAGGAACATGGCCAAACTTGCACTGGCGAGCGTATAATCTATATTAAAAAAGACAGTTCCAACTCTGGCTGGCACCCAGGGCAGTAAAGAGCACAAAATTAAAGCAAGAGCAAAGTGTAGTAGCAGGCTTGCACTCTTACGACAGGTCCCACAGGAATGAAAGCTGAGAAATGGCACTGGGTCAGGAGGAGTATCCTCAACACAGAGGCAGTTAAAA